ATCTAATTGAACTTAATTATTTTTTCAGTCATTGACACTCGAAATGAGTGAGTCACTAGGCTAGGTTTGGAGCTGAAGGCTACAGTGGTCCTTTAAATATCAAAGAGATGGTAGCCATCAGCTTCCAGAAGAGTTGCTAGGGTCTGGGGCTGTGGTTTCACTCAGGGTTGCCCTAGAGACAGACAGACCTGGATTCAAATCCTGGCTTCTCAACAGTCACTCTCTTTCTTCAAGCCTGGTTCCTCATCTGTAAAATCAGGATGGGAACACTTGTCCCAAAACACTTCGTATGAATCATCAAGGCCTAACATAAGGCTACTCAAAATCTTTATTTTCCTTGGCATGAATATTCATGTTTCCTTGCAGAAATGTTAATGTGTCTGATTATGACATGTTGCCCAAACCCCATACATGATATACCGTTACACTAACTTTCCCCATGGTTACAGTGTGGCTGCCAGGAACATCAGAGACAACATGTTTCCTTGTGCACCATATTACCTTTCTGAAACCAAAAATGTGATAAGTTCTAAAACACATCCTGTCCCAAGAGTTTAGGTCTAAAAAGATGGAGATCTTAGTATGGCTGAGCTACAATTATTCCACGGCCTTATGGGTAAGGCGGAAATCCCATGGAATCAAGATTACCCTAGAAAACCAGTACCCCCAATCATGTGCCTTGAGCAATGCGGCTGCTTCTTGAGTTTAGCCCCCACAAGAAGTAGTCGGCTTGTGTTTTGGGGCCATTTGTAGGAGAAATGTTTATCTTTAAACTACCAGACCCCATTCGGCCTGTGAAAAATGCTCATGCCAGGTGTGGGGGGTGACCTGGGTCAGACCAGGGTTCCCGGTGTCATGCTTACAGACAGCCAGTCTCAGCCGAGCATGAATGGAGATGCCAGCGAGGAGGCAGCACCGCAGTGGCACCGACTGGCAGGGTTAGTGGCTGTTACTCGGTGTCCTGAGGGTGCGGCTAGCCCGGGAAGGGGTCGCTGACAGGTGTGTCGCGCCCCCGCCCTCCACCTTCTGGCCATTCGCCTGGCTCCTCTTCCAGCGCCTTCCAGGGAAGAACGCCCCTCCGTGCGGGTCACAAAGGCGCCGGTTCCAGGGGTCCGAGGATTCCCAGACGCGGCGCTGGGGGTCGGCGCAGCGGGGCAGCGCAGCGAGCACTCCTGGGGCGCCCACGCGCCGCGGCCGCAGGTGGGACACGGCGGGGCCTGGCGGCCCCGGGTAAGGAAGCCTCACCCCGCAGGCAGCCGCGCTTGCTGCTCCGCAGCTCCCCCTGCTGGTGGCTGCCCCAGCCCGTTCCTTGAGGCCGCCCCGAACCTGGAAAATACCATAAGCCCCCTGAACTAGACATGAATTACAATGTGGGCAATCACTTCAAGAAAGTCCAACAAACTTCCATTTCCCAATTTTTTAAGATTGTTATGTTTCTGTACCCCTACTTGGCTAGTGCCCCCAAGCATATCTTTAACTTACTACCAGGTTAGGCAGCCCTGGGTCAGGTTTTACAGGCTCCTCTTTCAGACCTGGCATTGTATAACCCATGTAGTCATGGGTCTGGTTTCTCCTGTAATGACAGATTGTAAAAATTCGGCAGCAGGGGTGGAGCCTGCCTCCCCCTACACCAGGTAATTAAATGTTCGTTGGTAAAGATGATCTCTTCATTCATTCAAACACTGTTTGCTGTGAGCTTATCATATGCCCAGGACTATAGATATTGTAGTGGATGGAATGAGGCCCAGGGAACCGGAGGGCATGTGCCTGAGGGCAAGCTTTGAGTTTATCCTCAGGAATTGCGAAATCAAATTCCTGCCAGCTCAAGGCAGTTTCAGGGAGTGTGGAACTTGGAGAGAGGAGGCAGGTAGGCACTAGGGAGTGAAGTTGGTAGCCAGGAGAGTGAGTACACTACCCACAGGCATATTTTATTTATTTATTTTTTAAAAAAAGATTTTATTCATTCATGAGAGACACAGAGAGGCAAGACATAGGCAGAGGGAGAAGCAGACTCCCTGCAGGGAGCCTGATGCAGGACTCAATCCCAGGACCCCAGGATCACGCCCTGAGCAAAAGGCAGATGCTCAACCCCTGAGCCAGGAGGTGTCCCCACATGCATGTTCTAAAACACTGATTGCTAAACAGGACTGAAGGTAGCTTGAACCTACCTGTGGGCCTCAAGTTTGAGGCCTGGGAATGAGAGGGTATTGAGCCAGGGCTATGATACAGGTGGGGCTCTGAAGGCCCAGCTGTGAGAATGGGGGTAAATCTCTCTGGAGGGAACAGAGTGGGCCCGGGGACCAGTGGGCACAGACAGGGAAAGGCCTATGTTGGCATCTGGAAGCTGGAGAGAACCCAGGGGAGCCTGGCTCTGTGTGTGAGTGAGTATCAGCAAAAAGGTGGGAAGCTGATGGTGCCTCCAGCTCCTAGGGAAAAACACACAACACAACCAAATAACTCAAGGGCAAGATACACTGATACTTGACAATCCTGATTCACAGACAAGGTATATTCATCACTGTTATGTGCTAGGCACTGTGCTGAGAGCTTTATAAAAGTTTATGTTAAAAGGTGAGTGTGGGTATCCCCATTCTACAGATGAGGGGACTGAGGTTCAGAGAGGTAGAATCAGGCTATCAGTGAGTGTCTGGTTTACCTGAGCCCTGCTTTTAAAAAGGCGTATCACAGGTTCACTTACGTTCAAAAAAGCCCTTGAACATAGAAAAAGCTCCTGGGCAATATGAAATTAGAGCTGCATAAAACTCCTGAGTAGAGTGATGCCTGGGTGGCTCAGCAGTTGAGCATCTGCCTTCGGCTCAGGGTGTGATCCCAGGATCTGGGATCGAATCCCACATTGGGTTCCTTGCATGGAGCCTGCTTCTCCCTCCCTCTCCCTGTGTTTCTGCCTCTCTCTGTGTGTCTCATGAAGAAATAAATAAAATCTTAAAAAAAATAAGAAACTCCTGAGTACAAAGATGTCCTTTGCCTAAACCTCATCAGTCAAATAAATCCTGCTACAGCCTTTACCCCCACCTTGAGATCTCTTATACGCTGATCTTATTACATTATTGCTTTTAAGGAACATCCAGTCTTTTCCAGACTTCTTTGTCAGTCACTTCCTGCTGGATGCTGCCACCTATACTAGATCACACATCATTCTCTGAATGCTCCTTTCGTCCACTTTCCTCTCAAACTTTGCCCAGGCAGTTCTCTCTACCCAAAATTCCTTCTCCACTTTTCTTCTCTGCTGTTGAACTCCTATTCATGCTTCAAAACCCAAAAGAAAACTCACCTCCTTTGTGGAGTCTTTTCCACTATTTCACCCTGGACAGAATTCATACCGCCTTGAAGGCTGACTTACCACTGAATTCACTAAAATGTTTAGCACCCAGTAGGGGCTTAGTCTGTGTGCTAAATGGATCCAAACACCTTGGGCATGAGAACTCATTTAGTTAAAAGTGATAGAAGACTCCTCTCAGATTGTTTTAAGGGAATATGTTGATTCATGTCATTGGACATGACCCAGAGGTATATTCAACTTGGTTGAATTCAGGGGTTTGGATGGTATCGCCAAGTTTCATCTCTCACCATTTTGTCTTCTCCATCTTAGCTTTTTTCTCAGGCTCCCTGCAGAGGCAAGATCGTTGCCAGCCACTCCCTACCTCATTCAGTAGGCTCCAGAGCAGCGGGACGCAAAGTCCCTCTCTTCTGAGTGCTCAAGCTTAAACGTCATTATTCATCCCACTGGGATGAGTCAGGGTCAAGCTCCCATCCCTGAACAGATCACACTGGGGTGAGGAGGATGGAGAGGGGGATATTATGCAGATTAGCTAGGAATCTGGCACTCTGGTTGGCCCTTCCAGAGTCATATGCTCCAATCTGATAGGAAGGCGCAGGGTCAGCCCCAGGGAACAAAAAATGATCAGGAGTGAAGGCAGAGGCAGTTTTCCAAAGCAAATCAAGGCATTGTTACCTGGAGATAGAGGAATCTGCACACTCCTCAAGCCCTCACAATCAGTTATTACTCATAAACAGTATGAAACAACCTATACAATCCCATATCATATTGACCTGCTTACTGAGCACTTACTATGTGCCAGGCTCAGTGAGGTGCCTGACGGCTTCCCAACCTGTGAGGTGTCTTCTAGAACTTCTCTTGTTTTCCAGAGGAGGAAAATGAGGCTCAGAGAACGGAAGTGACTTGCCCAAGGTTAGTAAGTGGAGGAGGAGGAATTTTTGCTGAGATCTGATGATTGACACAACCCATGCTTTAAACCACTGGACTGCAGGACCCCTCAGTGGTTGGCAAAGCTAGAAGTTTCTGCTTTAGAAATCTATCCCGTGACATCTGCAAGTCGGGGTGCAATGGCTCTCATAACCCTCTGGGGTTTGTAGGGCTAACACAGTCATCCCCTCCTCTGAATATACAGGCCGGATGAAGTTCAAGTTATGATTTGATCAAAGTGCCTCTTGGTACCACTGGCTCTTGCTTTGAAAGGCAGGTGTGTGTTCTATCCTTAGCTGAAACTGAAGGTAGACTAATTGCATTTTAACCCCATCAGAGGACACATTGCCCTGAATGCCATTTGCCCCCTCTTCTCTGGGAACACGGGGGGCAGGAGGGTAACTGACATGCCAGAACCATCTGCCTGGCTCCTAATAATAAATTGTGAGAGGAACAGGTTTCAGGCAACCATTGCTTATTTAAAAAAAAAAAAAAAAAAAAAAGGTGGCTCTTCTCACACCCGGGCAGCCATCTGCTGTGTCCTCCATATGTGCCAAGTGGTGGGAGGAGGAAGTGACTGCAGGGGAGTGAGGGGGGAGAAGGTGCCTCTGGGTCCCACCCTGCCAGAGGGGGGGGGACGGGGGGGGGGGCCTCACACATTTTCTTCCTTTTGCCGCTGTGGACAGGACATTGCAGAGAGAAGAGAGAGAGAGGAGCACTCACTGGCTTTGACCTCCCTGGTGTCTGAGCATAGGGAAAGCACAATTCCTTCAAGATGCCGATGGTAGGTATTAGCTCCTGTGTATGGAATGCTTGCGTGGGTCAGGCACTGTGCTAGCCGCTGTACACACATCAGCTCATCTAATCCCGACAGCAAACCTATATGCATCCATTTTACAGATGAGAGACTGGAGGCTCAGAGACCTTAAGTGATTCACCCAAGATCACACAGAAAGGCTGCCTCTGCAGTATGCAATGATGAGGCCCGGCCCCCTCTCTACCCTGACACCCCGAGCAGGCTTTCCACGTAACAGATGAGCAGTTGACATCACCAAGGGTGGTCTTCCACCTCCAGCCCTGCCCCCGACCCCCTCCCACCCTCCGTCCTTGAGCTGCAACGTAAGCTTCTCTGGTCACCTAACCCGTGGCTCAGTGCCTCTCTCTGTCTCACCCAAAGAAGCACAGGAGAAAAAGCTCGGCAAGTATCCAGGAACTTTCCGAGAAGGTCAAAGAGCAGCTGGCTGAGGCTGAGCTTCGGAAGCTGAGGCCGCAGCTCAGGGAGATGGTGGAACGTCGGAAGTCCTTTAACTTCCGCTCCCAGCAGAAAATCTCAAACCAGCAGTAAGTGGTGGTCAGTTCTGTACTGAGTGAACGTGGAGAAAACGATGGATTTGGTTTCATGCGGTTGCCCTCTCATGTGGCCTCGGGGCGGGGACCCGATTCTGAACCCGATCTGGGTACCTCGGTGGGACAGCTTCAGGTAGCAGGGCGTACGTATTCTCAGAATCCAGGGTGTCCTCAGGACCCCAAGGGGGAGAGGACACCCGTGTCTCAGGGAAGGGTCCAAATGAAAAATTCTGGTTGCTGTTTCTTTGCGTACATGGGTTTTGTTCTTCCGTGTCCGCATCTCAGCGTGGGCCGGTGGGAGACGGCTGCCCCAGCTCGCGAGCCGCCAGGGACCACACCGAGAATCCGCGGGGAATCCGGTCCAAGCCCAAACTCCCAGGAAAGGGGGAATCTGATTGGCTCAGCTTGGGTCAGGTGTCCGCTCCTGGTCCAATCAGCTGTGGCCAGGGGGCGGGGTCTGGGCCATAAGCCACGGAATGGCTCTGAGTGTGGAGCGAGTGTGTAGCCCATGGTTCTAGCAACCCGGGTGGTTCTAGCAACCCGGGTGCAACCCAGAGTAGGGGCAATCATCGGGCTGCGGCTGCCCCAAAAGATGTTTCCTGCTGTGCGTCCTTATGGGATCTGCAAGAGCAAATATTTGAAATTGGCTTGTCCTAGAAATTATGATGTGGATAGCTTCTTTAGACAATAGAACAACGTTCCCTGGGGTTGAATAAACAAATATCCTTAGATTCCCTCCAAGGGAATGTAATTCCTTAGCTATATGCATAACGTTTATACAGGCAGAAACTACCCATTATTAGAAAGAAAATCTTCCACTGTTTGATGATGTGTGAAGTTCAAAGGATAGGGGAAGCAGGGTGGTTCAGATTTTCTATGGATTTAACTCACACCGACCTAGTTCCTATGGGATCTTTGTGTGAATTAGAAAAAGGAACTCTTTCCCAGGACACTTTACTGCCATCTGTTGGAAACATAGGGATTGTTGTCACTACATAGGGATTTTGTTAGAACAAGGTGAAGCCTTAGGAAAGTGTAAATCAAGAAAATCAATGATTGTTTTTCAAGTTGATAGAGCTCCCATGGGCAGTGCAGTCCACAGCCTGGACATCTGTGCCTGGCAGCCCTGATTCACAGCCTACCCCTGATGGACATCAGGAAAAACCTCCTTTCTGGTGGATCTCTGACAGTTTTTCTGGACTCTTACCCTTCATCCTACTTTTACCCCAGTCCATTTCATTTGGTTTCACTGTGATGGACCTGAAGGGGAGGAGGAAGGGAAAGCGGAGATCTGAGACTCTTCAAGTGAAACACCTGTAAATAGAGGCCAGGACTGAGTTGAGCTGAGTGAGATGCCTCGGGTGTAATAGTTAAGGAGTGCTTGTCCTATACCTGTTCCCTCCTGAGAGGGAAGGCCTCCTTAAATTTGGGGCCACCTCACTCCCAGTCCCAGCCTTGCCCACGAGACTACCTTTTGCTTTTACTGAGCCCTCTGAATACCCAAGTCTGGTGGACTGTTGGGCTCTTTTTCCTCTCCACCTTAACAAAGACCCTCCCCTCCCAAGACAGACTAAAGTAGGGGAGAAAGGTCCCAGTGGCCAGGGATAGAAGACAAGCTGCTCTAGAATTAGGGGTTCAGGGCAGCCCGGGTGGCTCAGCGGTTTAGCGCCGCCTGCAGCCCAGGGCGTGATCCTGGAGACCCGGGATGGAGTCCCACATCGGGCTCTCCGCATGGTCCCTGCTTCTCCCTCCACCTGTGTCTCTGCCTCTCTCTCTCTCTCTGAATAAATAATATTTTAAAAAAATAGAATTAGGGGTTCACTCCCACATGTGGCTATTTACATTTGTAGTTGATGAGATAACATTAAAATTTCAGTCCTTCAGTTACACTAGCCACATTTCAAGTGCTCAATAGCCTTGGTGCCTGGTGCATGCTACCGGACAATGCAGAGAACATTCTCATCATTACAGAAATTCTGTCAGACTTGTTGCTTTAGAACAGGGGTCTGCAAACCATGGCCAGTGGGCCATTCTAGTTAGCTGTCTGTTTTTGTAAATAAAGTTTTATTGGAGCATGGCCACCCCTATTTGTTCATGCATCTCCTGTGGTTACTTGTTGAATAGTTGCAGTAGAGACCATCTGGCCTGCAAAGCCTAAAAATACCCTTTTGACCCTTTATAGAAAAGAGTTTGGAGACCCCCACCCTAGAACATTTTCTGTTCTAGAGCAATGCTTCCAAAACTTGAATGTACATATGAGTTATTCAAGGATCTTGTTACAAAGCAGATTTGGATTCAATAGGTCCTGGGTTGGGGCCTGAGCTTCTGCATTTCTCCAAGCTTCCAAAGGATGTCAAGGCAGCTCGTTTGCAGACTGCACTGTGCTGCCCTATGGGGTGCCCAGACTTGGCCAGAAACTCAGCCTCTGTGCCATTTCCGGTTGTTCAATTGTTGTGTGGTCACCCGAGCCATTTTCTCCCCCCCCAAATCCCTGTTTGCCCACACTCCTACCCGTCTCCTCTCCAAAGCAGGGAGAGGGGGAGAGAGGAGGAGACTCATGTCAGCCGATTTAATAAATCATTAGCACCCTGCGCAGAGACACTGGGGGAGGTTGGAGGTTACTGCGCATCTCTGTGTTGACGGGAAATTGAAAATGCCTGCCTGATGGGCTTGCCTCTCATTACCCGAGATAATTGGCTGTAAAGTCAAGTCTGGAAGGAAAGTCAGCAAAATCAGACAGATGCCCATGAGCCGCTGGCAAAAGAGAGAATCTGGGCGCCCCCACCACGTCTAGGTAATGGGTTTTGACAGGCACAGCTGCATATTGCTCCCTACGAAGAAAGGGCCGCCTGGAGAGGGGCAGGGCTGTGGCGTTGAAGCCGGTCAGAGTTCTAGACCTGGACCTGAGACCTGGACCTGAGACCTGGACCTGAGACCAGCCCCCGCCAGCCCCCCGCCTGCCAGGGTGGGAAGTACCTGGCTGCGGCTCCTTTTCGCACTAAGGAGCCTGGAGCTTCAGAGCAAGGTAAACTCGGGGGTGCTTAGGGTTAATCACATGCTGCTTTCCCAACAGCAAAGAAATCAAGGCCCTGCAGGGAGAGCAGAATGAGATCACTCTGCTTTCGAGTCTCATCAAGTCCTCAAAGAACTTGGCTCTGAATGAGAAAAACTATATGGAGCTGTGTTTCCTGCTGCAGACCAAGGAGTATGAGGCCCTGATTAAATCAACGAAAGTGCTGTTGGCCGAACTGAACGAGAAGGTGTGGTCTTTCCCTTAGAGGGTTAACCCGAGCACCGAGCAAGGGGAGGAGGGGGTGGGGCGGAGAGCGCAGAGGAGGGGGCGGGGGGGAGGGGAATACCCATGATGCCTTAGGTCAGACCTGACACCCCATACTCTGGAGGTGACTGCGCATGCTCTGCAATCTTGTGACCCCCCCCCCCCCAGTGCTACTGGTCCGTTCCTCCATTGTATTTTCCAGCACCTTCCCACCAAGAGTAAATCTCAAACCCTTACTGTGCCAGTCAGGAGAGGTCAGGCTATGCTGTAGTAACACCACCGAGTGGCCCCTTCAACGCAGTGGTTTAAAACGATAAATATTTCTTCCTTGTTCATGCTGTGTCCCTCATGGATTGGCTATGGGCTCCTAATATCTTCTCATCCTGGGGCCAGGCTGATGGGGTGTTTACCATCTTGAATATTGCCAGGTGTTGTGCAGAGACAGAGTTCTGGAAAGTCTCACACTGGCAATTGAATGCTGCAGCCTGGAAGTGGCATGTCACTTCTGCCCATGAGCCATGGGCTCAAAATAGTTTACCAAATCCATATGTACCCCAACTGCCCAACCACCACCAGTCAACTCTACTCATCCACAAAAAGGTTTGGGAAGTACACGGTATCCAGAAGGCAAAGAGCTAGAGACATTTGCTGCACAGTGTTAATGGTCATATCCCTTCCTATGGACCGAAAGGCCCTCCATGTCTAACCCCTGCCTGCCCTTCTGTCTTCATCACATGTCATTCCTTCCTTAACTCATCTCACCTAGCTGCAGACTTTTTTTTTTTAAGACTTTATTTATTTATTCATGAGAGACACAGAGAGAGGCAGAGACACAGGCAGAGGGAGAAGCAGGCTCCCTGCAAGGAGCCCAATGTGGGACTCGGTCCCAGGTCCCATGATCACGCCCTGAGCCAAAGGCAGATGCTCAACTGCTGAGTCACCCAGGTGTCCCTAGCTGCAGACATTTTTTTTTTTTTCAAATATGTGAAAACTGTTCTTACCTCAGAGCCTTTGCACATGTCCTGATCCCTGCTGCTTGTCCTTTATATCTCAGCCTAAATGTGACTTTCTCAGGGAGGCCTTTCTTTTCTTTTCTTTTCTTTTCTTTTCTTTTCTTTTCTTTTCTTTTCTTTTCTTTCTTTCTTTTCTTTTTCTTTTCTTTTCTTTTTTTAAAAGATTTTATTTATTTATTCATGAGAGAGAGAGAGAGAGAGAGAGGCAGAGACACAGGCAGAGGGAGAAGCAGGCTCCATGCAGGGAGCCCAACATGGGACTCGATCCCAGATCTCCAGGATCAGGCCCTGGGCTGAAGGCAGATGCTCAACCACTGAGGCACCCAGGTGTCCCAGGGAGGTCTTTTCTATGCCCTTTCTCCTGTTGAAAGTATATCCCCTTGTGTTAATTAGCTTCCTTGACAAAAACAAATAGTACACTCAATGAGGTACTTTGAGATGAGTTGTGTGGTTTTTTTAATTTTTGTTTTTGTTTTTAGATTTTATTTATTTGAGACAAAGAGCATAAGCAGTGAGCAGGGCCAGAGAGAGAGAAAAAGAAGCAGACTCCCCGCTGAGCTCCATCCCAGGACCCTGGGACCATGACCTGAGCCAAACGTAGATGCTTAACCAATTGGGCCACCCAGGCACCCCTGAGAAGAGTTTTATGAGGCACTGTTTACAAGGGTGTGAGCATAGAGTAGGGACATTGAAGCACTGTGGGGTTAGCCACCATGGGCAGGGCAGGCACTGTGGAACCTGAAGACAGGGAACAAGCCAAGGGGAATAAATACTCCAACCCCCTCTTCTCACTCATGGACCCCCAGTGCAAGGGACCCATTGCAGGCTCCTTCCAGGTCAGCGTCCCAGGGTACAGAGCAGGGAGGGTGGAGCAGAGTGGAGAATAACCTCAGGGGGCAAACAGGAGATCTCAGCACCACCACCCCTTAACTCCTTTATGACATGACACCCCACGGCACCTCCCTCATAGCACTTCTCATGGTAGTAATTATACTTTAACACAGGTGTCATCCGTCTAAAACCTGTCACCTCCAGGAGGGAAAGGACCATATTTTGTTTCGTTTCCTACCCATCCCATGTCTATCTCAGTGCCTGGCACACAGTAGGTATGTGAAAGAATCTGGAGTCTCATTCCATCTTTCCTCTGCTCCAAACCCTTTAGTAATTTCCTATTGTTCTTTAGATAAGGGCCAAGCTCCCAGGGGTGGTTTGTTAACTTGGCTGCACTATGTGCCTCCAGCCCCTCCCACCTTCTCTCCTGCTCCTTCCTCCTCTGGTGTTCCTTCCACACTGGCCACCTTCATGAGCCCACAGTGCTCTCTTGCTTGCAGGCCTTTGCACCTGCTGTTCCCTCCGCCTGGATTGCCCTTCCCCATCTTCTCTGCTTGAGGAGCTCCTATTTATCCTTCAGGTCTCAGCCCAAATGCTATTTCTGTGAAATGGTTATCCCTACATTTCCTCTCCAGATGCCCCTACTGTACGTTTCCAAAAAACCATGTATCTTTTCCCAGGACTGTGTTTCGTAGCTTGTTTCTAGTTCTAAGATTATAAGTTGGTGTTGAGGGCAGGGACCATCATGCTGTCTTGATTACCATCAGGCCCTTGTTGTCTGGAACAGAGCAGGTGTTTAATAATCATTGATGAACAAACGAATGCATATACAAATGCATGAGGAAGGCAATAACAGTGAAGAAAGAGGAGAATTGGAGAAAAGATGGGGATGTGGGTCCTCAGAAACAACAGGAAAAGGCAGGTTACTTGGGAATCCTCAAAAGAATATGGCACTGACTGCCCTGTACAAAAACCTTCTTTCCTCAGTTCCACCCCAGGGCAGGTAGGTCCCAGAATCCCCTGCTGCTGTGCCCACCATACAACGTCCAGAGCTCCTTCCTTGCAAGAGGTCACTGGAGGCAGGGACCTCACACTAGCCCTGCTTGGCCTCAAAAAGCCAATAAGCCTGTGCCTTCATGCTGAAGAGAGCACCTCAAGTAAGCAATCCATTCCTCTGTTGGCGCAGCCATGGCTGTGTCTCCCATCGGGCTGAGGCTTAATTACTCTCAGTGTCACAAAAGCAATGTCTGACATGAGGGTGCCAAAGGGAAAAGGAGGCTGAATTTAATCACAAGAGCCATGGGGAAGTGCTGACACATACCTGCCTTTGACAAGGAGCTGGAGCCTGATGTCTCTCTCGGTCAACTCAGGCAGGGGCGGGCCTCCTGCAGTACAGGCAGCACTGCGGTCTGGAGAGGCTGCCCTCCTGGATATGGAAACAAGTTTGTGTTAAGGGTGCTGACTATGCATAGCACAAGAGCGGAAAACCAAGTAGAACAGGGGTCTGACTTGACCTGAACCAAAGCCGAGCTGCTAGTATCACTCATAAACAGCATTCACGTGCCTTACAAGTTTGTGTGAGACCCGGCGGCTCCCTTGATGCCTGATGGTCTGAGCTGTCCTCTTTCTTGATGTACCAGTGAGAATATGTTGGGCTGCAAGTAATGCAATTCTTGACTACAAGTGGCTAGGAGAATAGGATTTTGTTTTTCTCACATAATAAGATGTCTATCTGGAAAAAGGTCATCCTAGGGATGGTTTAGGAGCTCTGCAAGGTTGAGTTGGCCTTTTTCTCTCTGATCCTCTTGGTTGGCCCTCCTCTCATGGTCCCAAGATGGCTGCCAAAGCTTAGCTGGTATAGCTTCTCACATCATCACATTCAGAGATATGAAGAAGGGATGAGGGGCTTATTCTTACATGATCTCCTCTCCTGTGAGGGGGAGAATATTTCACAAAATGTCTCTAGCTGATTTTCCCTCATTGGCCAGGGCTAAGGCATATACCTACTTCTAGGCCAATCACTGGCAAAGGGAAATGAAATTCTTATCATTGCTTTGGGATAGACCAGGGGCAGCAAACTGTAGTGTAAGGATCAAATCTGGTCGGTTTATGACCCTTAAACAAAGAATAATTCTTACAGAGAAAACAGACTACCTCCTCCTAGGACACTTTTTTTTTTAGGATATGAGGAAACTTTTCCCAGAAGCTTCTCTAGCAATCACACCTTCTTAATTCAGAGGCCCCAACTGGTTTAGTCCAGCCCATCCCTGAATGAATAAATCATAGGCAGAGGGGCTAGAGTTACCATGGTTGCCTTGGATTAGTCTTCTTGGGTGAAATGGGTGTTGGGGTTCAACCACCCACCAATGTCTACCACAGTTTCAGTTGTTGTTACCTCTTCCAGCACCTGGCTCTGGATCACTCTTCTGTCTTCTGCTTGGCATCTCTTGCTGCCTAAAACCATCTTTCATCAGTCTACTGTGGTCCCTTTAAGGCCTTAAAATGTGGATGTAGACCAAATTGGTGGTCTTTAGGACAGATGAAACCTGAAAACATGAAGGCTTGGCCCATTGAGTGATTACATTTATTTTAATTAGTTAACATGTTCACAGTTGAGAGATTTCATGTAATAATGTAGATATCTGGCTTCTCTTAAAAAAAGACTGAGGAATACCTGGGTGGCTCAGCTGTTGAGCATCTGCCTTTGGCTCAGGATATGATCCCGGGGTTTCGGGATCCAGTTCCTGCATTGGGCTCCCAGCAGGGAGCCTGCTTCTCTCTCTGCCTGTGTCTCTGCCCCTCTCTCTGTGTCTCTCATTAATAAATAAATAAAATCTTAAAAAAAAAAAAAGGACTGAAAAATCTGGCAACATAGGGCCTGAATTTCCACAGGGCAACTGTATCTAAATAGTGTTGTGGTGACACTACAGCTATTTATCCACTCTACTCCTTCCTCTCTAACAGAGACTCCTAAAGAGCTATGTTTCCCATCCTCCCTTGCAGCTAGAGGGGGACAATAAAATTTAAGGGGGAGTCTGTTGAGGGTGTCCGAGAAAGTTTTGCTTTCTAGATTAGATTCTACCCCTTTATCCATATTGCTTTTTCTACCTTCCTCCCTGGAATATGACTGTGAAAGCTGGCACTATGGCAGCCATTTTTTGACCATCAGGGAAAGGCCAGGTGAATGACAGAGATCTTGTGTTTATTTCCTTGGGTTACTAGACTTTAAGCCAGCAATGTTTATGGAGAGAAAGATAAACCATAATTTTTTAAAGCCATGAGATATCTGGGCAGGTCAGTCAGTTAAGCATCCAACTCTTTTTTTAAAAAACATTTTTTTCAAGATTTATTTATTTATTTATTCATGATAGACATAGAGAGAGAGAGAGAGAGAGAGAGAGAGGCAGAGACACAAGCAGAAGAATAAGCAGGCTCCACACCGGGAGCCCGACGCGGGACTCGATCCTGGGACTCCAGGACCGCGCCTGGGCCAAAGGCAGGTGCTAAACCGCTGAGCCACCCAGGGATCCCCAGCATCCAACTCTTGATTTCAGCCCAGGTCATGATCTCAGTGGGGGCTCTCTGCTCTTCTGGGAATATGCTTGAGGATTCTCTCTTTCCTTCTTCCCCTCTCCTTGCTTGTCCTCTCTCTAAAATAAATCTTTAAAAATCTACAGTTTAGTTGCACTTTCTATAATTTTTAGTTGCATGATATCTATATACTCCACCATCCTGTATTATCTTATAATAGGCCCACATTACTCTTTTATGCCACCTGCTTGGCCATAGCTGGTAACCTCTAGTATAGATTTTTCTCTCAATGTCCCATGGTCATAGCTGAGACTGTGCTATATAGACTTCCTGAAGGTTTGGAGATAACCAAAGAAACTAAATCTTAGGGATGCTAACACAGGACCCCAGATGAGATTGCTCCCAGAATTCATCAGCTCAAGCTCAGCATACGGATACTTTCCCCTCAGCTAGAAGCCAGCTTCCATGTAGCTGACAAACTGTATATTTCATTAAACCAAGCATTTAACCTGCCTCATGTAGAACTTCTCACTCTCATAACAGGAGCTGGGCTTTAGATTGTGAATTCAAGCTACCACTTCCAGGCAAACAGGGACATATCAAATTACTTAAAATGACAGTGTACCCACCCTTTATGCACCAGGATTCCAAAAATAGTCTTAGAGATTAGTCTTAGCCCAAATCCTAAGAAAATAAAGTATCTCTGACACATTAGGACCTGGCACTCACCAAGCTTTATGGGTACTTGTCTTCAGGTAATAGTTCTATAAACTTCTCTAGAACCTGCTAGGATTTAGCACTAGCCAACTGCTTCTAGATGGGGCCAACTATTGGACAGGTAATATGGATGGATATCTGCCTGGAATGAATGACTTCATTCATACAGCAGGTTGGTTATGCACACTGTTGGCAGTGTGAAGAAATGGTATGATCTGCTGGTACTTGTATGAAAACTATAGAGTGAGCTCTGTGGGAAGGTGATGGCAGGGGTGGCAGGTATATTTGGGTTTGGAGAACTTGGCTGGAGCTACCAGCATAGAGAGAAACACCAAAATTCTTTCCTACCAACCATGGCAAGGGCGTATTTAACTTATTGGAAGTCAGAATCAATTACCTGGTGTATAAATTGCATGATGTGTTAGGAATGCTTTTGGCTACAGGTGATGTGATACCCAACCAAAAGAAGCTTGGGCCAAAAGGTGAGTGAAATTCACCTGTAAAAACTCTAAATTGCCTCATTTTACCCCAAACTGGCTAAGATTAAGTTGAGTTGAGCATGTATTCAAGAGAGAAATTAGAATTCTATTTATAGGAAAAGAAAGAACGTTGCAGTTTTTATTTTAGCACACTTAAGTTAGTGAACTGTAGAATTTTTACCCATGTTCATTTAACACAGCTGGGGGTTTCTTCTCTCTCTCTCTCTCTCTCTCTCTCCTTTTCTTTTCCCAGATTGTTCAGATGGAAAAGAAAATTATAAACCAAAAACAGATCTTCACAAAGATACAGGAAGCCAATAATCCCCGGAAACTGCAAAAACAGATCCAGGTTTTGGAAACCCATTTGAATCTCGTACGTAAGGTGTTCTGTGCAGCTTTGCAAACAGCTCTGCCTTCCCTTGCTCAGAGTATAGAGTGATGTCTGTGGAGCCATTAACAGAATATAACAATCTTGTTGCTTGACTCAGGAGAAGGTGAACTAATGCTGTTCACACAAGCCAGGCAGCCTTTTGGACTTACTGCCCACTCTTTTCCACCCACTCTGTTCCACCTACTCTGTTCCATCTACTTGGTTCATTGTTACCCAAGGTGCCTTTCTCCTTGCTCTATGCACTTTATGCACCATGTTTTTGCCCCCCCCCCCGGATGCCTATTTTTAGTGTCTTAACTTACAAACTCTTGCTCATTTTTAAGATACAGCTCGAATAGTGCCCTTCAGCAAGCAGAATTAGTTAGACCTTCTTTCTCCATTTCAATCTGCTCATGCCTCTATTAGACCTAGTGCTTTTTGGTTGTTGTTGATAATGTCTCTAGGAAATATTCGGCACAGACACACATAACTTGATAAAGAGAAAAGTGATGTTTCCTGATCACTTTCAATTTATAGTGACTTTTGCACTAGGCAGGATTCTCTAAATTGCAAACTGGGTTAAGCAAAAAAAGAGAATGGATTGGCCACAGAATTGAAAATTCTGGGGGCAAAGGTGGGGCCTTCAGGCATAGCTGGATCCAGGTGCTCCAAACGTGTCTTTAGGATACTTTCTCTGCACATCTCTCCTTTGGATGGAAATTACTTCATTCTCGGACAGCCCCCAATGTGAACAAATACCAGCAGAAAAGGACTATCTCTTTCCTAAGAGTTCAACTGTAAGTCCTAGGGAGGGTTCCTATTGGGCCATCTTGGGTCAAGTGCCCATCCCTAACCCAATCACTGTGAGCAGATGAATGGAATAGTTGGACTTGAGCCACATGACTGCCCTTGGATCATTCCCCCCACCCCCAAGTCAAGAGAGGACAGCCCTATCCAACAATATGGATCAAGAGCTGAGAAATGGTTCTCCTGGAAAAGCAAAAAGAAAGGAAGAAGGAATGCTGAGCACATGCAAACACATTCCAGTCTGATTTGTGAATTTACAGTCCTCACAACATAAGCCAAGAGAGGGGAAAGTGAATTAAATTGATTTGAAGGGAAGCCTGTCAGTGCCTCACTATTCAATGCTCTTAGCTTCCCCCAAAATCTGACCATGAGGGGATCCCTGGGTGGCGCAGCGGTTTAGCGCCTGCCTTTGGCCCAGGGCACAATCCTGGCAACCCGGGATCGAATCCCACGTCGGGCCCCCAATGCCTGGAGCCTGCTTCTCCCTCTGCCTGTGTCTCTGCCTCTCTCTCTCTCTGTGACTATCATAAAAAAAAATTTAAAAAAAATCTGACCATGAGGCTTTAATCGATCAGGCATGGTTGAATTTAATTGGACCTGATCTCTGTCTCCCAGTAACCCGGAAGTGGACTGAAGGCAGGGCAATGCCTTTTTAATATCCATGCACAGTGATTTGTACCCATGCCTCAGAAGGCTTAGGGTGTGTGTTAAAATGCAGATTCCTGCTTTTGAATCAAGACCTGTAATTCTCCAGATTCACTGGTTTTGAATCATAACCCATAAAGCTTAGACCCAGGCATTTGCACTATTATCCCATTGAAACTGAAGGTCCCCTTGGTTAAAAATCATTACTGCTCAGCATAGTGTGAGGCTAGGAGTAGGTACTTAGCAAACATCTGTTGATTGATTGATTGATTGATTGATTGAACACACGCATGATTTAATGATGATTTGTCTATAGAGGTCTGCTTTTTTTTGTAATAGGTCTATTCAGAGTTTCTGTTTCTTCCTGAGTCAATTCAGTAGTTTATTCCTTTCTAGGAATTTGTCCATTTCATCTAAGTTATCTTAATTTGTTGGTATGCAGTTGTTCTTAGTACCTTGCCTTATAATTATTTTTATTTATGTAAGGTCTATAGTAAAGTTCCCTCTCTCATTTCTGAGAGCTCTGCTCCTTTGCTTCTCAAACCTGTCCCCTTTTCCCTTCCTCCCCTGACCAAGTCTGCCTATGCCTTTTAGTAGATTTGATAGCTATCTCTAAAGGTTATTTCAGGGTCCCAGGATACCCCATAACCCTAAAGCCACCTTCACTTACTCAGTGGAGCCTGAGAGTCCTCCCATTTTTATCCCACAATGAGAAGATGGGTAGCATGTCAACCGTCCTGGAGTAAAATTCATACTAAAGTGCAAATGACTGATAACCAGTATCATCTTAAGGGTAAGTAGAAGACACAGAAAGAATGTGAATGAGAATGATTCTGTTCCTGGATTTCCTTCCCTTGTATGGTGGCTACTGACATATCCTACAGAGGAACCTAGGGAGGGCCAGGACTAGCCTGAGGCAAGTGAATAACCCAGTATGCAAAATTTAGCACTCACTGTCAAGCTCATGGAAATACAGGGTTGACCCTGGGAGAGTGAATACCTTCTTAAATTTTGCATCCTGGTGGTCTCCCTTGCCTTCCTCCTTCTTAGCCTTGCAGAAACCTAAAATTTCTTAGAACCTGCTTTGAAAACCTCTGATCAAATCTACTTTATATTTATTAGGAATATTTTCTATAATTGTTTCTTTTCAGTGTTTATGGGAGCACTTTGTATAAAAAACTTCTTTATTAAGATAAATTTATTAAGACTTGCAAAAAAAAAGACTTGCAGAAAAATGGAGGGAATAAATAATGATCACCCACATACCTATCATTTAGATTTAATAATTGTTAACATTTTACTATATTTGTTTTACCCTTCTTTCCCCTGAAGTATTTTAAGGTAAATTACAGACATCACAATATTTCACCCCTAAATACTTCTATTTGCATCTCTAAAGATCAAATGTTTTGTTTCATAGCCACGAAACTACATCACACCTTACAAAATTAATACTATTTCCTTAACATTGCCCACGTTAAAATTTCTCTGGCTGGCTCCAAAATATCTTTCAAAGTTGGGGCCAATCAAGGTTCACCTGATCGTTAGGTCACTTAAATTTCTTTAGTCGACAGCAGTGGTTCTCAAGCAGAGATGATTTTGACCCCAAAGGGACATTGTTTCCAAAAAGAGACATTTTTGCTTGTCACAGCTGGGTTAGGGGCTGTGCTACTGGCATTCAGTGGGTAAGAGTAGAGATGCTTTTTTTTTTTTTTTTTTAGATTTTATTTATTTATTCATGGAGAGAGAGAGAGAGAGAGGCAGAGACACAGGCAGAGGGAGAAGCAGGCTCCATGCAGGGAGCCCAATGCTGGACTCAATCCTGGGACTCCAGGATCACTCCCCTAGCCGAAGGCAGATGCTCAACCACTGAGCCACTGAGGCATCCCAGATGCTTCTTTAATACCACAAAGCACAGGATAACTCCCCACCTCAAAGAATCATCTAGCCCAAAACAGTGTGGAGAAGCCCTGCTCTACAACGTCCCCATCCCAACTTTTCCCAGATATCCACTTACTGAGGAATCTGGCTCAGCTGTCCCATAGAAAGTTCTACCTTCTGGATTCTGTTGATTGTTTCCTCATGGTGTCATTTACCTTCTCCCCCTCTCCCCTGTCATTGCTAAAAACTGGAAGTTAGATATAAAAAGCAGCTGAGAAATTTAAAATCAAGAGTGGGACAGAAACTTGCCTAAGACCATTTAGCCATTTAGTGGCCAACTCAAGCCCTTCACCCAGTGCTTCAACCACTGTGTTGTAGACCTGTGACCGGAGGTGGGGAAAGATCTTCCCACCCTCCGGCTGCCTTCTGGAAGTCTGTCTCGTGCCCTGGAGGGAGCTCGGTTTTGAAGCACAGCCCCGCCCACAGGTCACCATGCACTTTGATAAGAAGCTGACCACCAATGCCAAGCTCCGGAAGGAGATTGAGGACCTGCGTTATGAGAAGGCTGCTTATGACAATGCTTATCAGAAGCTCCAGCGACTGCTGGAGCGACAGAAGCTCTGCTTGCTGATGCAAAAGAAAACCATGAATGTGGCCATCGAGCAGTCTGCCCAGGCCAATGAGCAGAGGTGGGCTGGGGGGAGACCCTAGGGGCAGGGACGTCTCTTCGCTTCCTGCTGAGCACCTCTGTCCCCGGGCTTAGGTATTGAGGGATCTTAAATCATCATCATAACTCTGAGCACTGACTGCTTGCCAAGCATGATGCTAGGGGCCCTGGGTATTATTTCAACCCTCACAACTGCCCCTGCGGTCGTTATTCCTATTATATTACAGACCAGGATCCGAAGGCTTAGAGATGCTGAAATACTTAAGCTGACACCGAGGTAAATGGTGGATGTGGTAGGGCTGAGATTCAAACCTCTCTGCTGTGCCATCTCCTCCGGGTGCCTCTGCCTTTAGTCCTGGGGGGTCTCAGTCTGGGTCATCTCCTGGCCTCACACTCACAGGGGCAAGAGGCATATAGTTGGGCTGCGAAGAGCATAGGTTTGGGATTCAGAGAGATCGGAGTTTGAATCCTGGTTCCATTGCTATTATATTATTGTAGGTCCGCTTCAGGGGTTGGGGGTAGTGAGGATTAAATAGAATATGTATATAAGGACCGGCCACGCAACAGTAACCGACTAGTGGTGGTGATGATGATGGTCATCAGGTGGTGAAGTTGGGGGTGATGACCATAACAGAAAAATCGTTTCCTGGGGGTAGTCCTAGAGCTGGCAGTTCCCGTCATTTAGGTAAGAAGGACTGTCCCTCCACTCCCAGAAGCCTCCCTGATATAAAGAAGTGATGGTCACTGGCAGCAGGTCCCTCTGGCCTGGTAGGGGGAGGGGAGGAGGGGGGGAGCCTTGGGACACTCAGACCCCGCCCCTGCCTCGCTCAGGCTGGAGGCCGTGGCTCGCTTGAAGGACCGCCAGCAGAAGGACATTGCTCAGTACAACCTGGAGATCCAAGAGCTGGAGCGTGTCTATGCCCACGAGACCAAGCTCAAATCCTTCTTGCTGATCAAGCTGAATGATCGTCTGGAGTTCGAGGAGCAGGCCAAAAAGGAGGAAGGTACGCTCTCCAGGCACTTTCCCTCTCCCTCTCAACTGAGGGGGTCCCAGTCCTGCCAAATTTAGCAAGTAACATTGCAAGATGTCTCATTAAATTCAAATCTTAGAAAAACGGTGAAGAAATTTTTAAATGAAATAAAAAGTTATTTGTTGGCTATCTACAATTAGGACATAATTATGCTTGAAAAAATATATTGTTTGTCTGAAATTCAAATTTAACCGAGCGTCCTGTATTATATCTGCCAACCCCCAACCTCTTACTCTGAGGTTTTCCTTCCGTTATTTTAGGGGGAGGAAACTTGGGTGTCCACCCCCGGGTTTGGTGATTTGCTAGGAGGAGTCACAAGATACAGCAGATAGTTACCCCTGTGGCCAGGCCTAAGTCAGGACACAAAGCACACTCAAGCATAGAGGAAACCAGGCACAAGCTTCCAGAGTCTTCTCCCAGGGCAGTCACACAGAACATGCCAATTCCCCCAGCATCTCACTGTGACACCTATGAAGGGTTATCTCCTAGGGGATCTCATCACAGCCTCTGTGCCCCAAGATCTTACTGGGGGCTGGTCACATAGGTGTCCTCTCCCTCGTGCGTACCACAATTCTAGCCTCCCGGAAGAACAGCGGGTGTTCAGCATAAACTACACACTCACACACAAACACACACCATCTGCACAGCCTAGGTGCAATGAGCCACTCCCAGCATTTAAGGAAAATTTGATATTTGTGTAGAGAACTGTTTACCATTTAAGTGCCCAGGTGCACACTTGATGGGATGAGCACTGGGTGTTATTATACTGTATGTTGGCAAATTGAATTTAAATTAAAAAAAAAAAAAGTGCCCAGGTGCAGCCACTGGCCAACCTTGCAAGAAGAGCCCTTTCTGAGGAGAACAGTGTCAGTGCTGTTATTTTTACTCTCTCGCAAACAGATTGAAAAATCTGAGCTCTTCAAAGAGCCCCGGGGCAGCTGCATTTGTTCTTTGTTCTTTTGGCATCTCCTGTCTCTTCCTGCCTTTTTCATTTGGGACTGTGTTGCAAAAAAGTGTGTGTTTGGGAGAACTCCAAAACTCACTCCCTAAAATAACACGTAAAGGAGTCACACAGCCAGAATGTGCATAGGAAAATCTAGGAAGATCTTTGTGGTGGCCATTTGGAGGCTAAATCAGAGATTAAATCAGAGATGAGACTGAGTTCAGGAAAGGTGGGGCTGTTGCAGGCATCAGGCTGGAGAAAACGAAACTTGGAGAATTTTCTTGGTTCTAGTTCCTTGAATTTGCCAAGGTCTGAGCCTACCAACAGGATTCCCTTGACCTTCACCTTGCTCAAATGCCACCTCCTTTGAGAGGCCTTCCTTGGCCACCCAGCTCCCCCTGGCCACCACCTGATGCTCCTCCATCACTGAGCCACGGTGATCATGTATTTCTTCTTCTGTTTACGTGGATATCTCCTTCTCTCCTTCTGTCTGATTCCTCCGACAGGGCTGGGATTTTGTGTCTGCAGAGCCCAGCCCAGTGTCTGGCACATAGTAGATGCTCAGTTAGGTAGCTGTGAAGGGACTCAGGAGTAAAGGTCTTGCGCCCTCTCCTGGAAGAATCTAGCCTCCTCCCTAGGGTGTGATAACGTCACTGCCCAGCACTCTCCCTACCTGGCACTGCTCTGACTGGCTTCCTTTCAGACTCACGGTTGCCGGCTTCTCCTTTCTAGCTCTCAAGGCAAAGAAGCACAGGAAGACGGGCAAGGGTGAGAGTTTTGAGAACTACGAGGTGGCCCACCTCCGGCTGCTGAAGTTGACCAAAGATGGGAACCTGAATCAGCTCATTGATGACTTTCTGGCCAAAGAGGAGAAGAACTTTGCTCGGTTCACGTATGTCACGGAGCTCAACAATGACATGGAGACCATGCACAAGAAGACCCAGAGAATCCAGGTCAGGGCAGCTCCCCTTTCCTAGGCCTGGGACCGGCACACTCTCACAGCAGCCTTTCTCAAAGTGGGTCCCCCAAAACACTCCTTGAGATGCTCTATAGAGTGAGCCTCAAGGTCTCATTGGTTTGGGAAACACTATTTTCCTCCAGGGCTCCCCCCCCACCTACATTTTAACCTTTCTGAAATTGATAACTGTTTTCCAGTTGATGCAGACACATAATGTGGTCCCATTCCCACCCCACCCCCCATGGTGACATTTATAATCCATGGCATGTTCTATAATCAAGGGTTCAGTAAACTATACCCATGGCCAGATACAGCCTGTGGTCCGTTTTTGTACAGGCCATGAGCTAAGAACGGTTTTTACATTTTTAAAGGGCTATAAGGAAAAAAAAAAAAAGGATAGATCATATGTGGCCTGCAATGCCTAAAATATCTACTATCTGGCCCTTTGCCTTAAGAGCCTGCTGACCCCTATTAATCAACAGCTTCACAGAATTGAGGAGAGATTGTCAATCCATCTTGAAGAGAATTGATGTGCTTAGCATAGTAAAAGCTCTGACAAGTCCTGCAGTAAAGAAATCTATTTACTTTTTTGTTAAGCCTGTAAGTTCCCAAACTTAATTGGCTCCTTGGGCTACTTACTTCCCAAACACACATAAACAGCCTTTGGAATTGTCTGCATAGCATAGAATCTAAATTCCTCAGTGTGACACTCCGCCTCTTTGAAAATTTGGCTTTAACCTGCCTTGACAAGTTCAGTTCCCCTCATGACCCCAAAGGTGCCCTCCTCAGCTATCCTGTGCATTTCCCTCTGCTGAGTCTTCCCTTGTGCCATTTTCTCTCCCACCTCCTGCTTTGCTTCTGATGAAATACTGTTCATTGGTCCTGACCCTGAACAGAGGTCACCACCACTGGGAATTCGTCATTCCTCTCTTTGTGCTATTTGTATGTTGAAGGGAGCCACTTAATTTTGCAATGTCACTGCTTCCTGAATATGGAGCAGGTGCGCTGCCCATGAGCAAGTGACTAGTAGCTGGAATATAGATAAAAACATTGTAGCTTACCAGTGATGAGTTCATTTTTATGAGGATTCGGACAAATATAGTTAGCAAACTTGTGATTTAATGGATATTATTACTTAGGGTGATAAATCATAGTAACAGCAAACAAATAATGATACACATAATAAAATGAACACAATTTGGCTGATTTCAAGAAAACTATTAATAGACATTAATAGGTAGTGATAGATAATACAGGCGGTATATGAACATGATGGGAATGAAGGTGGTGGTATCAGTGGTCAGAGGAAACAGATGGCATGCCCCAAGAGGGTGAATCAAGGTGAGTTGTTTTTTTTTTTTAAAGGGACTATTTACAAAGGTTTAAGGAAATTATAAGGAGAGAGCGCAGGAGCAGCATGGGAGGACTCCAGAGCAGGTGAGGGAGCTGTTTCTGGAATCAGGATGAGGTGTGTGGAGGAAGATGTGCCTGTGTCTCTCCTGAAGGGATTGTGGCCAAGCTAGTGACCTTCCCAGGTGGTGAGGGGCTGGTGGGCAAGTACCCCCAACCTCTTTCCAACCACTAATCTCCAGCTGGTGCATCCCATTGTCAGGGAACAACCCAAGCCAGGAGACAAGGGAGCCCAGAGCCCTAGCCCCTGGGGTCTGAGGCAGAGGGTGTGGAAGTGGGGCAAGTGGATTTGTGGGGAAAATGGAGAATATCCAGCTCAGTGTGTCGTGGGGGTACGGTGGGAGGGATGAACTTGAACAGCCCTCTGTCTCCCTTCTGGAAAGTGATTTTTCCAGGGGACTGGCACAAGAGTGTATTCCCTCTGCTTTCCCAGTGCCCAGGCTGGCCCACACACAATAGGAGGCACCAGGAAATGGCTCTGAAACCATAGCTGACCTTGATCTTGCCATTGACCACGATGATAGTGTCCTTTTGTCCTTTGACCATGCAGACTGTCTCTGTCAGGAAGGTGTATCTGATGACAGATGGCCACTCCTGTCTGGGCCTCACTCTCCACATCTGTAGAATGACATACTAGGATGAGAGCAGTACTTTCCAAACTCTTGTAAAACAAAACAAAACAAAACAAAACAAAAAAAACTACAGAACATTTTCATTTAAACGCAGGTTGTGAGGAAACACAGTATAGAAAACAGGTAAAACAGTTTGGGGTGAAGGGGGTGGGAATTGGGAGGAGGGGCTGGAGGGGTTGCCTGGACCCTTACCTTTTTGTCTTTTTGTGGAACTTCTGCTCAAAACTATGGTTCAGGTAAGAAAAATGTATAAATCCATTAGGATTCAAAGAACTGACTTCACCCTTCTGGAGGACACCGGGGTCAGAGGTTGTAACTGGTTGAATCCTGCTCTCATTTTTCTTTTGCTTAGTCTCCCCTACCCCCCAAATTTAGAAATTATTAGTTGCCAACATTTAAAAATCAGGATATTCCACATGAAAACCTGGATTTCTGGTTTCTTTTGGAAAATCTGATCTGACGACTATGGCCCACCGCCCTGCTCTTAGCTGAAGGCTGCTGGCCCTCATCCACCCACACCAGCGGGTCCGATCTGCTGTCCTGTCCCAGGCGCGCTGGGCCCCTGGAGGGCCTTTGAGGTTTCTGTCTCCGATGTAGGCGCTTCGCCACTGCCCTCAGGTGGCCACGCTGCAGTATTGCATGGAAAGGTTTTGGACGCAGACATCCGAAGGCCTGAAAGCTTAAGGATGGAAGGATGGATGGATGGTTCATTTGGGACCTGGGAAGTGGACAGGACCCTGATTCCCATTTTCTAGGAGACAGCACCTTAATAGTCCCAGTGGGATGGCAGGGACAGACCATAGCAGAGGCATGTGAGGATGCTAGTTGGAAACTGAACCGATCAAGAAATGGTTACTAAACAAAGTTGCCCTTCATCTTTCCCTTTACCTGATGGTACCGCCTCTCTAGGCTACACAGCCTGTCTCTGACCTTAGCAGGAGTGTGTCTGATGAAGCATAGGCAGGTCCATGATCTCCCTGGGCTTCAGGCTCCCCGTTTGTAGAATGATGTTTGGACCAGAACAGTAGCCTCTGAGTTTTTCTTTGAAGTTATAGAACTGTGCCTTTTGAGGCTTAATAGAGCTGCAAATGCCTGCTGAATAAGTCCTGAAAACACTCGTTTCTAGTGAAAATGCTTAATAGTTAAAAAATCTTAGAAGGATATGCTCATTATAGAAACTTTGGAAACTACCTAAGGATTAAGTTTTTAAGATCACCTATTATCTCATTCCTTAGAGATAATCATTGTTGATATTTTGATTATTTCCTTCTGATTTCCTCATCACATCTAGTGTGATGCTTTTAAAACTTAACATAGTCATTACCATATAGTTATATAGAGACTTACATATTCTGATTTTTTTTAAAAAAGTTCTTTTGGTTTTGTTTATCAAGCAAGTATTATTGAGCACCTACTATGTGCCATGCACTATTCTAGACACTGATTATGAGACAGTGTTCAAAATGACAAAAAGTTCTGCCCTCATGGACAGAACTTCTGTTCTGGTAGAAAGAAAGAAACAATTAGCAGTAAGCCTAATAAATACATAAATTATAGAGTATATTAGAAAGTGAGAAATGGTGTAGATAAGAAAGATGAAATATAGAAATATAGAAGGTCTGAAGTCAAGAGAGGGCACGGGAACTTGAGAAGCTAAGATTCGAGCAGATTTGTAGGTGAGGGAATAAGCTATGTAGGTCTCTGGGAGGTTAATGTTCCAGGCAGAAAACAGCAAGTACAAAGGTCTTGAGGCAGGAAAAGTGCCCATTTATAGTACTGGGATCATTCTAGGCTGTTTTTAAACTCTCCCTCCCCCCAAATTCATCATACACCTCCCAACATCTTCTATGTTCCTCTTATGGCTTCTGGAGACTCTGAATGCTCTGTAGCAGAATCATAAGATACTTAAAATGCAGATTCCCCAAGTGCTATCCCATAACTTACAAACCCAGATTCTCTGAGAATAGGCTAGGAATCTGCATTTTTAACCATATTTTTACTTAAAACCCATTCCTCTCATGGTATGAATGTACCATCATTGATTTAACTGGTCCACTATCAGTGGACATTTCGGTTGTGTCCAACTGGGGGCGATTATAAGCAATAACATGACAGATAGCCTTGAGCAGCCACTTTGCCCACATGTCCTACTGTTTCCTTGGGATAGGTTCCTAGAGATGAAATTACTCAAAGACTAGCCTTTTCTATTTGTTCTATCCCCAGGGTATCTCAAGTGTGGTCCCTGGGTCAACAGGAGCAGCAGCTTTTGGGAAATTTTGAGAAGCGCACATTCTCGGGCCCCACCCAGACCTACTGGACCAGAAACTCTGGGAGAGGGGCCCAGCAATCTGTGTTTCACAAACCTCTAGATGATTCTGATTCATGCTAGAGTTGATAAACCCTGCTCCAGGGGCACCTGGGTGGTGCAGACGGTTAAGTATCTGACTGTTAATTTCGGCTCAGGTCCTGATCTCAGGGTCTTGGGACTGAAACCCACGCTGGGCTCCGTGCTCAGGGAGGAGTCTGTTTGGGATTCTCTCTCTCTCTCCCTCCCTCTTGCCCTCTCCCCCATTGCCCCTCCTCTCTCTCCCTCTCTCAAATAAAAATAAATAAAGCTTTTAAAAAACCCTAAACATCAGAAAGATCCTCCATGGGCATAAGGGGGGCCCAGGGACTCAGAGGCTCCTTGAAACAGATCATTTAAATCCTCATCATCTCCTCAAGGCACAGGCTTAGTTTTAGGTGTGGTGGGGAGTGCCCACTTTTCCTTATGGTCTGGTCCTCTCTTGTGCAGGATGAGATCATCTTCCTGCGATCCCAGCAGAAATCATCCCATGATGACAACCGCTCCGCCCTGAAACAGTTGGAGGTAAGACCAGGGTTGCGAGAGACATGGGAGTCTTTGTCTGTCAGGCGGCCTGTCTGGTGGTTCTCAGGAGGAGTACAATATCTGTCCTATGAGACTCCCCTGGCTTGGCTTGTGTCTCGGCATGTCCTGAGCCTTTGTCTCAGGCCACCCCTGTTACAGATATTTGCTGTAGAATTTTGTCCCTATAATCTCTATGTCCCTTTTAAAGACTCCCTGACTTCAGGGAGCCTAGCCCAGGCACTTGCACCTATAGTTTCATCCAGACTGGCACAACCCAGACAGACCTCTCTGCCTGAGAATTTTTTTCTCTCCCCCTTGTCCTGGCTGTGGCCTGCTCGCAGTCAATTACAGTTATTATGAACATTATTTGAGCAATTACTACCTACCAGACACTGGGCTAAGTGCTGTTCTTGTACTATCTCATTTAATTCTCACAACAGCCCTATGAGGCAGATACTGTGATCTTCATATTGTATAGATGAGGAAACTGAGGTTCAGAGAGGTAAAGTCACTTGACCGACATTGTGGAGCTGGGATGCTATATAAAAGCTTTGCCTTGTATTTAGTTGCTAATCACAAGGAACCAAAGTAATAATGGCCTAAATGAGGTAAAATTATTTACTTTGTTAAGAAATGTTTGGAGATAGGTCCTTCAGGCCTGGTCATGATGTCATCGGTGACCTAGGCCACTCCTATTTGCCATCTCTAGCATGCCTCAGTGTTGTATTGTGGCTGCCAATGATCCAGCCATCAGATATATGTTCCAGGCAGGAAAAAAGTGGGGGGAGGCAAGAACAAATATAACAACTTTGCTGATTGTTAGGCAGCTTAAAGTTTCTTTCTGTGAAGACTCAGCCAGTGCCTTCTGTGTTTACATCTCACTGGACATCTTTATTGCAGAGGAGGATTGGAAAATCTAACTTCCAGCTGGGCACATTGCTGTCCCAAATACAATCAGGAATTTGTTATTAAGGCAAAAGGGGAGAATGGATAGCAAACTTCCGACAAAGGTATGAACCCAGAGAGTTTGACCGCACAGCCCTGCTCTATCCAGTAGTTCCCTGCGCAGGGAACTGGGCTCCTGGGTCATTTTCCTTTCCTGCTCTGTGGCCACTTGTTGGCAAGCATCTAGTTGGACTGGGATGGCGGTGCCATTCTCCAGTCGGCCACTAGGGGGCAACAAAGCACAAGATACTCATTTTGGGGCTCAGGCTCAGGGAGGCCTCTCCCAGGAGCCTAGATATGGGGAATTAAACTCCCAGGTAGGGCCCAAGTGCAAGGAGACCCTCCTCAAGCTGAGCACATGCTTGGGGTCCCATGCCCTTGGTTCAGGGCCACCCAGTGTCCAGATGCTTCCTTGGGCTTGGGGCTGGTGCTATTCTGTATGTCGGGGTTTTGAAGGCCGAGTGGTAGTATCCCAGCGAGGCTGACAGGGCAACCTCCAGCGGTTTCTCCCCCTCTGAAGCCCTTCCATCCCCTCTTCGTTCCTTTGGTTGCAGCCTGCCTTCTGGAGGCCTCTCTTCAAATGCAAATACTCAAAAAAAATGCAAATACTCCCAAGCAGGAGAATTTGTCATAAAAGCAATGCGGTCACAAGAGCCCTTTTTTCTTTCCCTTGCTAAAGATCATTTTCCTTTGCTCTATTCTTGGAACCTTCCCACACATCTTCCATTACATCATCTCCTGCCCCTCTGGGAGTAGTGGTGGCATCTGTCCCTTAACAGGAGGGTTTTGCATAGGAGTTAGGCAGCCAGGCCCTAACAAAAGCTTGGGAACAAAAGCTTGCATATGACTCTCAGAAAAGTCACTTCCTAGCTGTGTGACTTTGAGAAAGTGACCTAACCTCTTTGAGCCTCTGTTTTCTCGCCTGTAAAATGAAGATGACCATCATCATCACTGCAATGGGCTGTGAGGGTTGGGTCAAGTTATCCATGCACATGCTCGGCCTGCTGCCGTGCAGACAATTCTAGACATAGCTATCATTGTGGATATCGTGTGAGTCAATAAAGCCTCAAAATCACTATCACCTTAATACTAAATATTTGCTCTCAAGAGAGAGGAACCCCAGGTAGGGTACTTAGACTATTCAATAGATAGAAGCTAAACATGAGTTTGCTTTACTTGTCTGACCTCAATATTCCTCATCTGGAAACTGAAGCCATTGTGAGGAGGTGGAGGTGACATGTGTGAGGTGCTGGACTCGTGCTGTCACCATCACATTAGGCTGTTTAGCTGTGGGATCTCTTAATGTGCCTGTAGAACCAGAGGGCGGCTCTTGTTGTTACAGGAGGAAATGCAGCAGCCCTGGGAGCTGGGGGGCAGAGGAAGCTGCCTGGTGTAGTGGTTGAGAGACAGCTTAGACCTTGGCTTCTCTCTCCTGACTGAGTGCTTTGGATCCATCCTTTGAAAGTGGGGATGTGGATCGGACTGACCCTTTAGGACTGTCATTTGGGATGATGCATATAGAGCCACGGGGAATGGGGGTGGTCCTCACAGGGCCTGGTTCACCTCAGCTAGCCGAGAACTCAGAGGGAGAGATGGGAAATGACTGGAAGCTCCCACCCCAGAGCAGGGATTCTCAGCCTGGGGCTGCAAATCAGATTCACCTGGGAGGCTTTAAAAGTCCTGATCCCCAGGTGCATCCCAGACCAAATCATCTGAATCTGGGGCTGGGGTCAGGGCCACAAGTGTTTTGAAGCTCCCGGATGATAGCAATGTGAAGCCAAGATTGTGATCCAGTGGACTTGCAGGATTTTTCAAACTTTACTGTGCATCAGCATCACCTGGAGGTTTATCAAAAGCACATTGCCAGGCCCATCCCCAGAGCCTGATTCAGGGCCTGGACTGGAGCCCAAGAATTTGCATTTCTAACAAGTTTCCCCGTGGAGCTGATGCTCCTAGTCCTGGGGCCCCATGTTGAGAACCACTGGGCTAGAGTGATCTGTTTTATTTATTTTTTTTAAGATTTTATTTATTTATTCATGAGAGACACACAGAGAGAGGCGAGACAGACATAGGCAGAGGGAGAAGCAGGCTCCCTGTGGGGAGCCTGATGCCAGACTCTAACCCAGGATCCTGGGATCATGACTTGAGCCAAAGGCAGACACTCAACCACTGAGCCACCCAGGTGCCCTGAGTGATGTGTTTTAAACTGCAAATGGTAAAATCAGTCTGTTGGATCAAACAGCATTTAAAAATAATGAAACAGAACAAAATTTTAAAACACACAAAGTATTGATTTGTGGAACTTTCACTTCATTTGATAAGATAATACATATAAACACACACCCATATGCACAAGTATGTATGTATATATGCATGTGTTGGGCTGCACTGTAAAATGTATTCCTTTCTGTGGGCCACAGTTTTAAAAATATAAGTCATTAGCTTTTAAAAGATGTTATAATTCTGAGGTACCTAGGTGGTTCAGTCAATTGACCAAGTTGGCTCTTGGTCTCAGCTCAGGTCTTGATCTCAGGATTGTGAGTTCAAGCCCCACTTTGGCCTCCATGCTGGATATGAAGCCTATTTTTTTAAATTAAATATATTATAATCTAATACACATATAGACACACACATGTATATGTGAGGGAAACAAAATGTACATTTAACAATATTTACCCTCTTTACCTGCAATGCATACTAGTATTTTCTCTTCCTTTTTTTTTCTGTTCTGTTTACTTTTTTTAAAGATTTTATTTATTTATTTGATGAGGGTGGGGGGACACAAATAGCCAGAGTGGCAGGCAGAGGGAGAGAGAGAAGCAGGCTCCCTGCTGAGCAGGGAGCCCAGATGTGGGGCTTGATCCCAGGACACTGAGATCATGACCTGAGCAGAAGGCACACACTTAACCCACTGAGATATACTTTCTTTCTTTAAAATGCTGATTAAGGGGGAGCCTGGGTGGCTTAAGCATCTGCCTTGGGCTCAGGTCATGATCCCAGCACTTGATTCCTGGGATCAAATCGAGCTCTGCTCAGCAGGGAGCCTGCTTCTCTCTCTCCCTCTCCCTCTCTCCCTGCTCATTCTCACTCTCTCAAATAAATAAAATCTTTTGAAAATAAAAAATAAAATACTGATTAAGGCTTAGAAAATTGATTTTGAACCCCCTCAGAGGTTTGAAAACCTGTGGTTCAGAGACCCTGTTTCCAGAGAGTCCCGAACTCCCATCTACATTCAAAGTCCTCACGGGTGGGCTGAGCCTAGGGTGGCAGTCTGGCTGACCTGGGATGGGAATTGGGGTCTGTCACCAGGAGAAACTGAAGAAAACCACAGAGGAGGCGGATATGTATGAGAACAGCTACAAGGAAATCAACAAGACCTTGGAGTATCTCAAGAACTCAGTGGAAAATCTGTTTAAAAAGATTAATTGTGATGCCACCGAGATCCTGGGGCATTTAGGGGAGACAGGGAAAATCACTGACAACAACCTCCCACAGTACTTTGGTGAGTTACGCTGGGGCCTGTTGGACCCTTAGGAACCATTTCCAGAGCTTTCTATGAGCAGGCTTGAGGACTTGTTCTTTGGGTGGTGGTGAGCCTGGTGGTGAAGCATGTGGGCACTAAAGCCAGCCTGCCTGGGTTCAAATCCTGGTTCTATTCTTACTAGCTGTGTGCCATTGGGCAACTTTCTGAACCTCCCGGTGCTTTAATTTTTTCATCTAAAAAAAATGAGGAGTAAACCCAATATCTACCTCATAAGGTTGTTAGGAAGATAATATTTAATTTTAGAGTAAAACTATATGATCATATCAATAGAGAGTAGAAGCAGCATTTGACCAATTCAACATCCGTTACGATAAAGGCTCTTGACAAACTAGAACTGGAAGGAAACTTTCTTAACCTCCAAGGGTGCCACTACTGAGGGCACCTGGGTAGCTCAGTCGGTTAAGCATCTGCCTTTGGCTCAGGTCATGATCTCCCCCCCTGTTTAGTGGGGAGTCTGCTTCTCCCTCTCCCTCTGCCCCTACCCACCCCACTTGTGCTTGCTCCCTCTCTCTCAAATAAATAAATAATTAAGAAAAGAAACCCACCTACTATACTTAACCTATACTTAAGGGCAAAAACCAGAATGTTTTTCCTCTTGAGATCAGGAACAAGGCAAGAATATCTGCTCTCATTGCTCCTAAGCAATGCGATAAGGCAAGAAAAAGAAATGAAAAGCAAACAGATTGGAAAGGAAGTAATAAAGTGTACAGAGCAGTGCCTGGCATGTAGCAAATTCCTAATGAACGAAAACACATTTCTAGCCATAGGCCTGAGCTCAGGATAGAGAAAGAGGGATGCACCTCCGTGGATCATGACAACTTGGAATGAACAGCTTGCACTGCTCTGAGAATAAAACCTACGGTTCTTAATACAATCTGTTTGGGGGCTTCCCAAGATGCTCCCTCCTGCCAAGTTCAGTGATTTGCTAGGAGGGCTCACAGACTCAGCATATGGTGTTACTTGTGGCTATGATTTGTTTCCGCAAAAGGGGAAAGGGTCATGAGGTGAAGTGGAGGACTGGAGGACTACTGAGCTGCTATTAGTAAATGATGATAGGAACCTTCCGGAAATCCAAGTTCCTTGATGCCAGCTTGGGGCCATGCTGGGAAGCAGGCATTTCAAAGAATAGCAGTCAGGACTGCTGTGTTAACTCTTTCCTGCACACAGCCTATCAGGGTTCTGCACAGCCTGGTCCCTGCTTCCATTTCTCATCTCCTCTTGTCCTGCTCTCTGTCTTTGTCTGCCACCTCAAGTCACACTGTCCTGTGTATTCTTGCAACCCTCCCTTCAATTCATTCCCACCTCAGGGCCTTTGCACAAGCTGTTCCTGGAATCCTTATCCCAATTCCTCCTCAAACTCAGATCTCAGTCTAACGTCCTTTCTCTGCAAGGCTTCCCTCCACTGCCCCACCTGAAGCTGGCTTCCCCTCCACACTTTTATTCCCTTTCATGGCAATTTGTTTATGTACTGGGTGAATCTATGAGGCTTTTGAGATCTGATAGTTCCAGATGCAAATATTTTTGGTCCCTGATTTTTATTTTTTATTTTATTTATTTTTATTTTATTTTATTTTTGGTCCCTGATTTTTAGAAAGAAAAGCTACAGTACAGGTAGTGTGAGGTTTGTTTAAAACATTATCCAAATCCAGGAGTTACAGAATCTAGATAACGAGCATCTGGATAGCAAGGGATATGTGTACTTATTTGTTTCCTGGTTGAATTTGTCTTTCTCTCCATCTTCCTCACATATACTGAAGCTTATGAGCTTAATAAGGTCAGGGATTGCATCCTTGTTGTTACAGTTATTGTCATTTTGTTTTTCCTCCATGCATCCATGGCATCCAGCTCTGAGCCTGGCATGGCAGGTATCCGATAACCATTTGTAGGGTGAGTGAATGAACACACGACTCTGGTGACTATAGGAGCTATGAAACACGGAAGGAGACCTCCTTCCCCTAGGCAGGTCAGAGGAATACTCCCGTAGGGTGCGGAGCCCTGATCCAAGTCTTAAAGCACCAGCAGTCATGATTCAGGGAAGGGTGCACGGAAAGGCATTCTAGGCAGAAGGAACAGCATGAGCAAAGGCCCAGAAGCCTGAAACAGAGAGCACACAGGGGAAAAATCAGTAGTTTAAAAGGCTGCCTGGGGCTCCCAGTTTTTGGTGAAACCCAGTGTTTCTCAACCTCTTCTTTTTTTTTTTTTCAACCTCCTTTTCATTATTGCCTCCTAAGGAACCTTTTCAGACATTCTTTTCCTAATTGTCCTTATGCGATTTTCACACTATATACACTATGTAGTTGCTTATGTTCTGCATGTTTATCTGTTTTATGTTATAAAGTCAGATTTTGTTTGTTTGTTTTGCTTTTGCTAATCAACGACCAAATTTTGCCCTCTCAGAGTGATACTGCCCCCGGGAGAATGCATGGTATAACTCTCGAGAGAGGCTTGGTCCTGTTCCTTCCCTTTCTCTCCAGCAGGGGGCGTCACTCCCAATCCCTCCCTGTCCCCCACCCCCACCCCCGCCCGCCTCCGCACGTCCAACCCTGGGAACCAGGTCTCTCTGCTGCTGTCTTGGTTCTGATCGATTTTTTTCCAGCCATCGTTGAGAAGAAGACCAACGATCTGCTGCTGTTGGAGTCCTACAAGCGGATCTTGGAGCTGGAAGGGGCAGAGACAGACATCCCGCCGCCCTTCGTCCACCCTTTCTGGGGTAGCTCCGCCCTCCTCAAGCCTGCAGAACTGGTCAAGGTCATCCCCCCAGTGCTCGGGGCTGACCCCTTCAGCGACAAGTTGGATGAAGGTGAGTTCGCATTCTCCCGCGATCTGCGATCTGCGCTGCTTGCTAGGAGACCTGTGCTGGAATATGCGGTATAGAGCCTCAGTTTCCCTTTATGAGCCTCGTGGGTCCATGTGTTCCATTGGGTTCCACCTTGGCTGTGGCCCTTCACTTGTTTTGCCTGGAGATGCTTCTCCCTACAGCACAGTGAAGATCCCAGAGTTTAGTGATCCTGGATATATATGTATTTTTTAAATCACTACTTTGTGGCCATTTAAAATGAACCGTAAGGGGGGGCCTGGGTGGTTCAGCCGTTTAAGTATCTGCCTTCAGCTCAGGCCATGATCTCAGGGTCCTGAGATCAAGTTTCTTATTGGGCTCTCTGCTCAGCGGGGAGCCTGCTTCTCCATCTCTCTCTGCCACTCCTCCCTGCTCCTGCATGCATGCTCTTTCTCTCTCTCAAATAAAAATAAAATCTTTAAAAATAAAATAAAACGAACCTTAAAATGTCCACAGTTTACAAATTGGCAAGTTGCAGGCACACAAGGTTCCCTGATCCCATCTGTCACCCTCACCCTATGCCCCTTAGTCTTACTCAACCCATGACCACCTCGGCCGATGCCAACTGTGTCCCCCAAACTCATGGTTGAAGCAGGTGCGGCTAGGTTGGGGGCAGTAGCCAGATGCCTAACTGTGGCCTTGCAGCTGGCTTGTTGACCTTCCCTCCTTTCAGGGCCAGAAGCTCATGACACTCCCCTCACTGGGGCAGAAAATCTGGAGCTGGGGAAAAAATCAGCCCCACCTGGGTTTTGGAGGACAGTTTGGCCACACATGTGATAAGCCTGAGACATGGGTATACCTGTTAGGCCTGTAATCTCTCCTGTGCAAACCAGTTCTTCAAGAAATATTTATTCAGGGGTTGAAGATGAACATAAGACGGCATTCACTGCAGCCCTAAACTGGAAATGACTGAAATACCCGCCCATTAGAAACTGGTCTGGGAACTACAGTTCACTCATCCATGTGATAGGAATACTATGCAGACATGGAAAGGAATGCAATGGGACAATATAAACTCTCACACACAGGGTATATAAATTATATATGCAATTGTTTTATATATATGGATTATTATAACATTATATTATATATATATTATAACATATATGTGTGTGTGTGTGTATATATATATATTCAGTAGTTCTCAACCAGGGTGATTTTACCCCTCAGGATTTTTGGCAATGTCTGTAGATATTTTTGGTGTTACAACTGGGAGATGGGGGGGGAAGCTGCTGCTGTTGGCATCTAGTGGCCAGGGATGCTGTTAAAAGTCCTACAATGTACAAGACAGCCCTTGACAACCCTGAGATATAATAGGGAAAGAGATGTGTAGAGAGAGAGAGAGAGAGGAGGGAGGGAGGGAAGGTTAGAGGGAGGGAAGGAGAAAGGTATGTTGATTGTGCAAACAAAAAGGATTTATAGGCTGATTTACAGTGGGTACTTTTAGGTGGTGATTTACATAGAACTTTGCATTTCTAAGTTAAATAATTCTGTATTGTTTAAATGTTTCTTTTACAATGATCTTGAGCAACTTCAGTAATCAAAGAAACCTAGATTTTTAAAATAATCTGTCCCGTTTCTCTAAACAGCACTTCAAGTGTGCAGGCATGTCAAAGATGGAGGGGGAGGGCTGGAGGAAGATTGCCAACACAGGTGCATGCACGCGCACGCACACACACGCCCCTCCTGTCTGACTTAGGTTTAGGCAACTGAAATTTAGCAGGAGTGAAAGCTGGGTCTGGTCTGGTGTTAGCCACCTTAGCACAGTTTCCCTTGACCCTTTGAGTTCCTAAAAGAGGAGGGTGGCAAGGCATAGCTTCTGGTAAGCTGCCCCCACATAGTCAAGAACTTGTAGATGATGTGTCCACTTTTGCTCAAGGGAATGTTGATAAACATTGGTTTCTCTTAGCTCACTAGTCACTCTGGTCCATAGGTGTGAATTAGAAGAGGCACTCCCCCTGGACAGATTGAGAAAAGGTACCCCTTCTGTGTAGAAATGGTTTGGCAATCAAGCAGGGGTTGGATTCCAGCCCATCCATTCACCATCTCCACCAGATGTCTGTGCGGTCTACATCCTGAACAACTGCACATGGTGGCCCTGTCTCTTTGACATTAAACTAAACTCACCTTCACATCCTCTTCTGGGAGAAAAAAAAATTATTGTCTGGGTGTCCCTGTGCAGTGCATCTCTACTGATGCTCTTCCTCCCTGAACCTCAAAAATGCTCACACTCTATTCCCACCAGTGTGGAGGGACCCCCAAACCAGACTTGGATATCCTTGCCTTAAGCATCCATGAATGGGGCAGAGGGACACTGTCCTTGGGAAGGGAGCTACCTATGCCCATCCCATGCTGGGTTTGCTTTCCAAACTCCTCACACCAGTCCTGTCTTTGATGCAGTGGATCAGCCCCTGGACCACAGCAGCCTTCAGCAGCTGGTGCTCAGCAACCAGTTTCGAAGCAGGGGATTACACTCAGACAGCATACCAGAAAAGGGGGACGATCTGAGACTCAAGAAGAAGTTAACGGTCTGAGGCGGATGGAGCTACATTTGTACTTTAACCAGAATAAATGTTGTATTCTGTAACCTCAGTGCCTCCTCACACTCATTACAAAGGGACTCAACTAGGGTTCTGGAAGCCACCCTGGGATGAGGTAGAGGAGTTAGGAGGACATAGGAGCTGACACAGGAGACAAGAGTTGTATGAGGTCACCATGGCTCCTGAGATTGTGATTGTGACCAGGACAAACAACTGCTACGTCTGAAATTAAAAATTAACCTCTTATAGTTAATGGGTATGATTTTTCCTCCAAATGAGCCATGTTTTTAGCATGAATGTGAGGCCTCTTCCTCTTAATTTATCATGGGGCCTAAGTGCATCTATGGGAGAAACATTCCAATAGCATCCTAAAGGAGAGGATGTCATGGAAGCTAGGCTCTACAGTTGCTTGAGCTCTTTGAAAGAAAGGGGTGTGGTCCTCTAGTTAACATTCCAATAAATTGTGGCCCTTGATAGAAATAGTTCTGAGTGGCTGTGAAGGTCTACTGCAAATAAAGAGTTACTAAGATTCAATAATAATGACAGCAGGGACATCACTCACTCATACTCTCTGGGAACTAGCAAAGGATCTTCATTATCCGAGGCACTTCTGTCAGAGAAACACCATGAACATATAGACAACCTCTCATTTATTTGAACACAGCTTCTGGATGGATTTCCATCTATAGGATATGTGGCCACATGGTATCTATATACCACAGAGGCTGCAAAGAAGATGAAGGTGGCTAATGAGGCAGCCACACGACTAACGGGCCGGTAGCAGGGATGGCAGCATTACTGGGCAAAGTGAGAGGAGGGCAGGGACTACATCCCCACCAAAGACAAGCCCAGGGTTGATTGGTGAGCCCCCTCAGTCCTTCTCTTCTCCGTGGGTGATGATATGCACCAGGTTCTTATAGTCCAAGTTGCCAGTCACATCAGGGGGGAAGGCGGCGAACATCTGATCAATCTGCAATGAACCAGCCACATGTGCTGAGCATGACAGGAGGGGAAGTAAGAGGGACAGCTGTGTGGGGGGTGAATCCCAGTGCAGAGGTGGCAGGGATTTGGTGGGCATGGAGACATGACACTCAGGTCCCCTCCAAGAAGGCCTTGTCACCCAGCTGTTGCAGAGAGCTGCCAGCCCCAAGGTCATGGCCTTCCTGGGCCACCCACAGCCACCTGCTCAGTGTGGGGCCTAACTTGGGACCTCTTAGAAGGGTATTCTATCTCCAGAGCTCCCTAGGGTGGGAGGGTAGCCAAGATAGTCTATGGGCCTGAAATGAGGTTCAACACCTCCCCCCATGCCTCCCTGCTTTCTTTCCCTTCCTTGCTCTTCTGCAGGTGCTCACCCCACGGGCCATTCTGCGGTGATATTCCTGGGAGCCCAGCCGGCAGCAGGGAAAGCAGGGATCGCAAACACGGGCATATAGAGGGGCCAGGCAGGTTGTGTAAGGGAGCAAGGGGGGCCTAGAGGGGACTGTGGCTCAAAGCAGACACACATCCCATTTACAAAGGTGACAAGTGCCACAGGGACAGCCCAATGCAGCCATGTGCACATGTAGGTCAGACTTTTTGAGGAAATCTGATTCTTTGAGGGAAGCTAGAAATGTAGATTTTTAAAAACATGTAATTTCTGCATTTTTAAAAAAGCATTGACTAGTTAATTTTAAAAATACATATTGGCTAATAATAGCTAACACTTACATTGTCCTTATCACATGCTCCAGCACTTTGCACGTATTAACTTGTTGAATCCTCACAGCATACTACCAGGAAACTTTTATTACCATCTCCACTTTACAGATGAGGAAATTGAGGCATAGTGAAGTTAAAGAGCTTGTCTCAAGTCACCAAGCTGCTAGGAGGTGAAGGCAGGCTCTTTTAACTGCTTGGGTTTTAGGGGAAATCTAAATAAAATTTTTAGTGAAATGTGAAACCTAATGGAATCAGGCCTGAGAAGGGACTATTTTAAATATTTAATTAATATCGACAGGACCATTGCTTATTGATACAGGGCTTTTGGCAAATTAGCAAAAGGGCCCTTTCTTCCAGGCACAGTACTACCACCTGCCAGAAAAGTCATATATACAGTTAAAAAAAAAAAAATTATAACAGGACACTTTACTGCCATCTGCTGGAAAACAATTGCAATAAATGGATACTCTATATCTTATGAGTACAGCATCTGGAAGAATTGCTCAGTGTGGAACCTACATGACAGTATGTGGTACCCTGCAAGCCACCCTCACTCCATCAGGAAATTGGTGCTCTAACCAGGGCTCCATGCATTGTGAGGAAGGTAGACCTGGTGTCAGACAGATCTGGGTTTGAATACAGACACGAGCAATTAGCATTGTGGTGTCCTTTTAGGCAAGTGACTCACATCCCTAGGCCTCAGTTTCCCCATTTATAAAATGACAGCAATACTAGACTCTACCTCATAGGGTGGTGGAGAGAATGAAATGAGATGGGGGCTCAGTAGCAGGTTCTCTGTCAGTGTGGGGCGGGAGTGTTTTAGGAAAGAGGGTGAGGTGGGGTGTAGTTACCTCCTCTTTGGAAAATCTCTCTGCCTGTGTGGTCAGCATCTCCCGAACACTGAGGAGAGAGAACAGCAGGTGTTGGCACCAAGTGTGTGCACAGGAAGCAGGGAACCCCCATATCCTCCCCACACATCCCACTCACTAATCAGCCCTGAGCACCCCTTTGCCTTCAGGGTCAAACACTTTGAATGCGTTGAGAATGGTCTCCTCGGGGTCTGCCCCTGAAACAGAAAATGGTTGCATCAAACCACTGGTGGCTGGGAACCCATGGTACCCCAGGAGGCAGGGCCCAACTCCCCCCAAAGATGGAGGGGCCAGAGCAAGGCTGTTTTGCTTGCTCTGAGCACTGACTCTTGGAAGGAGTGAGCTGAGAATCCAGTCATTTCTGAGCAAACCCAAGCTCAAACATGGATCTAGATTTAGAAAGACTCGGATTCGAATCCTGACTCCAGCATTTGCTAGCTGTGTGGCCATAGGCAAGTGCTTTCCATCTCTGCGCAGAAGACTAGGGATAAGAATAGAACCAGCCTCCTAGATGCTAAATGAGGTAATGCGTCCAAAGGCCGAAGCATGAGGTCTGGCTCAGGGTCTGCCTTGGAGCAATGGCAACTGCTGCTTTTATTTCTCCCCCCAGTGTTACCCTGCCTTCATCTTCTGCCAACCCTTGTCTGCCCTCATGGTGTTTTAATTCATGCCCAAAGATGAAGACACGTAAAGATACACACACAGGTGCACAAATGCAGCCACACATACACACATACGGCATACACGTGAGCTTACCCTTAAGTTTCTCCCCAAACATTGTTAGGAACACAGTAAAGTTAATTGGACCTGGAGCTTCCTTGAGCATTTCGTCAATCTCCTCATTTTTCACGTTCACACGCCCTAGGGCAGGAAACACACAGTCAGGGTCCCCCGGGCTGGGGCAGAAGCAGCTGTCAGGACACTGGCATTTGCCCTTGTAATTCCACTTGAGGGAATCCAGTCTAGGGACAATCAGAGATGGAGAGGGTGGGGCCAGATTCACTGGAAAAGATGGTCTCCACAGTGTTATTTATAATAGCCAGACAGCTGGAAAAAACCCGAACATCCAATGTGGGGAGGGGTTAGCTATTTTTATAATAGAGCCTTTAGAACCTGGAACATTTTAAACAGATATTTTAACTTTTTACTTAAATGGAAAATGCTCATGCAATAAATTATCCCTCTCAGTCGGAGGTGAAAAAGATCAGAATCACCTGAGGGAACTTTTTCAGATTATACCTGCTATAATCTACACAGCCTTGGAGATTCTGATATACCTGTGCTACCCAGCCTCTGCCACAAGCCCATATAGCATCTTTGTGCAGATTTTTAAAAGACACCTGTTCTTAAGATAATTTGTTTTAAATATAAAAATCTACAGTGGCAACAGACATGAATAGTTATCTATAGAACTGTATAGTGCACAACCTGCACAGCTGTTCATGGTGGCCCTGAGTTCTGGGAGTGGGAATGGACTGGGTGTGAGCAGTGGCAGGTTGGACACATATTTTGAAAAAGCTCAATACACTGGTGCTCACACTGTTGAGATGTTAAATTTAAAAAGGTGATTCCAAAATAGAATGATTCCAGGCTTAAAACAACAACGACCCCTACAAAAAACCCAGATATATCTAGAAAAGACTGAGAGGCTGACATGTTACAGTGGAATGTGGCCTAATGGTTGAGTTTTCTTCTTTATACTTTTCTGAATTTTGCAAATTTTCTATTATGAGTTGGCATTCCATTCAAAATCACAGAAAAAAAAGTTACTTTAAAAGAAAAACAAAAGATATGTGAAGACACTTAAAGCCTAAATACTAACTTCCGAAGTTTGTCTTAAAGGCCAATCATGATTGAGCCATTTCTTTGAAAAATGACAAGCCCTTGACCTTTGCAGTGGTCCTACCTTTCACCCCTGAGGAGGGCGGGATAAGGAGACCCTCCTGCAGGCCTACCGGGGTGTGTATGGGGGGTGGACATACCAAGAGCAGCAAAGGTGTCCCTTAAATCATTCTTGTCGATGAAGCCATCCCTGTTCTGGTCCATGATGGTGAAAGCCTGTGGAAGGGGGCATTTGGCTGGTCAGCCCAGGAGAAGTTGGGTGGAGGAGCCCAAGAGATTGGGCTATGAACAGGAGGAAATGGGATTCTGGGATTCAGGGAGCAGTGAAGGATACGTGATCAAGAGTCAATGATTGGAAACTGGCCATTCCTCAAAACTAATGTTAGGCATAGAGTTCCCACAGGATCCAGCAGTTCTACAATTAGGCATCTACCCAAGAGAATTGAAAACATCTGTCCCCATGGAAACCTACGCCTGAATGGCCACAGCAGCCTTACTTATAGTGGCCCCAAACTGGAAACAGCCCACGTGTCCATCAATTGGTGGACGGATTCACAAAATGTGGTCTAGCCACGTAACAGACTC